CTTTTGCCCTCTGGGTAGATTAAGTAGGTCCCTAATCTTTCTTCAAATTTTTTTGAGAAATTTAGTCATCTTACCTAACAATAAAGATGGCGATCACCACGCGACGTACCGTGAGCACGCACGGCTGAATTGCAAGGCACAAACCGCGCAGGAAAATCGTGATTTCTACCCCAAGAATTGCAAAACGGGTGTCATTTGAATTGAGAGAAGTCTGCTTTTGATTGTAAAGGTGATTTTTGAGCAATAAAAAACATTTTTTACTCTAATTTAATCAAAACAAAACAGGGGCCCTACACTACACGATCGCCAAGTTCCCTTCAACTAGCCATACTACTACTAGGCATGGCATTTTTACCGGAAGTTAATATAATAATACTAGGCCTAGGCCTATATCCAAAAGGAAATTCACTAAACTTTTGTAAAAATAAAACGAAGTGGCTATCGTTACGGCATTCATTGTTTAGCGCCCTCAACGATACTTTTTTGATAAGCACGCGGGTATATAATTATTTGTTTTCCCAGTGCGACAGCTCAGTCGATAGTGGGTAGGATTTTGCACAGCGAGGTTGCGGGTTCACATCTCAGTTTTGCACTCGAATTTTTTCCTTTTCTTACCTGAGGCTTTAGAGGATTTTTTTTAAAAGGGAAATGGGGCCTAAATAAAGTCCGAATTTCATAACGTTCAAATTCACTTTTTTCCTTCTAATTTATATTTTCTTCGCATGTTTTTATAAAAGTTGCAGTACTACTAGTACTACAGTAACGATAGAAAATGGGAAATGCGTTTACGGCTGCCGTAACAATAGCCACTGCGAAAATAAAAAGGTGACAATTTGGGGCCACAAGTTACTCAAGCTCTACTGAACTAGCCTACTGGAGATCTTACTATTCGTAGAACACCTTCTGCCTCTGGAAGTTTTCACACAGTGTTACTGCACATTGGTGGGCCATATTGTAATAACTTCCAAAAAAATCGCGTTTTCATAACTCACGGCGTGACGAATTTATGCTGTTTTTACCCCAGACACCGCATACAAAAATAAACGCTATAAATGTACAATGATGTAACGCATACATACATATGATATGCAGCACAAGATTGCAAGACCTATTCCGCATTTGCGTACGTATGGTGTACTATAAAGGACACCTATCTGTTAGGCCAAAAAAAAATTAAGTCGGTCTCTGGTCAGCGCGCGCGTCTATTTTAATCATGCGCGTCGATCTTTTTTTTTTCCAAAATGTTCCGCGGTAGCTCCAACAGCGCCCTCTATTTCCGCACCTCCTCATTTATTTTTTACCAAAGAGCACCAAGGAATGGGAAATTGCACCAAGGCAAATGGTGCTTTCGATCATTAGGCATCTTTCCTGCAAGTTTCAAGCAATTTTTTTTTTGGCCAAAATTGAAAAAAATGCAAGGGGTTAGCCTTACTTTTTTAGTGAAATTTGGTCAAAAATTGACTTTTCTCGAAACAATACAGAAATTCCTCTGAAGTGTCCATCCATCCAGAAATAGAGTCGGAATGTGTTGTAAGGTCCACTAGGCATCGATTAGTTTCGCATTTTTTTACATGAATTTCTATCGATTTTTTTTTGGACACAGTTGGGGGTTATTGACCTCCCCCCCCCCCCCGGAACCGCGCCTGCAGGCTCCGCACGGGAGTCAATGAAGCGGAGCCGACAGAGCTGCTCCTCACGGGAGACTATGGAGCGGAGCCGACAGAGCACAAAGACACGTTGTAATTTTTTTTCTGTCTTTTTATTTCAGTTCCAAAATACGAACAGTCATTCAACATTACAAATATAGACCTGTTTCACTGATAAATAATCACTTTGGGTTAACAACGGGGATTCTTTTTAATTGAAATCCCGACAATCGTACATTTTAGTAGCTTTTTTTGCACATCATTGTACAATTTACATACATAATTTGTTTTCATATATTGATTTTACTGTACAGCATACCATTTTAATACAAAACTAGGCAATGTACAATATGCACTGCACCGTACACAGACTCCCTCAGAATGCCGCACCACGGCACGTGCTGCAGAGAAACGAGGACCGTTCCACTATTTCCAGGGGTTGTGTGGTACAGAATATAAATAATCATTTCAATTAAAATTATTAACCTGAAAATAGTGAAACAGTGTCACAAAAAAATAAGGTAAACACAATAAAGTTCATCTGCTTCCTCACTGGTACTATTTAGGGAAAAGGGACACAGTGACATGTACCATAGTAATCAATAAAAGCAGTTTGCTTTTATTCAATATACAATTATGAACACGACTAATAAATCAGCAATGTCTTCACATAAATTGTATTATTTTATACACAAATAAACATGATTCCATCTAATAAACGGGCCGTAATTTTTTTTCTTCGGGAGACCTAATTTCATTGGACAGGAAGTACAAGCAAAGGAATTGATTAACAATTTGAATACATTAATGTCTGTGATTTAAGTACTTGTACAGGCTTGTATAATGTACAACCTAAAAAGCTAAATTCTTGCCTCATTTCATCGATAAAATTGGCATGACTTTCCCTTATTCTATTTCCTTGACCAAATAAGTTAAAATTGCCAAGAAATATTCGCACAGGAAACAAACAGGGTCACAATAAACAAACGAGAAGCTTTTGAACCAAGACAACATAGTTCATATACAGCGAATTCAATATTTTAAAAGAACGTGTCACATTTCGAAATTGTCCATCCTTATTTAGGAGAGCTTGCGAGAGCATGGTTCTGCACATTGCAGACACAACAATCATTCATGATGACAGGACTGACTATATTTAACCAATCCTGCAGATTAAAATGAGAAATGACAGCAAAGTTCCCACAAACAGTGGCCATTTCACTGCCAAAGTAGTTGGTCACTCACATGGTTATATGGCTCATTGCCACACTTTTTGGTCTGGTGTGAATGGTGACAATGTGTTCAATTTTTTTGTTATTTCTGCTGCATTTTATGCTATAAAACGGCGACCAAGTTGTGTAAACATGAAGTAAATACATACACTGATGTACCAACACATGTACAATGTCTGCCACCTCTTGGACAATCGACAAGATGATTTGTGGAGACCAATTAAAACGAGCCTTCTTTGTACATCACTTGGTCGATTGACCATTTAGCCAATCATGTTCGATGTTCTTTTGCTGTTGTCCTCTGATTGGATGGACATATATATCTCTGCGGAACAGCACAGTTGGCTTGCTAATAATTAAGAAGCTTTTTAAACAGTAGATTAGATCCAACTTATAGGAAAATGGGGATATTTGTTACATTTCTCGACAATTACACATAGTGAGGTACATGTACAGTTAGAATAAATTATCATACATTCAATTCATATTCATGACTGCGAAATTCTCAAAATATTCATTCAAATTCAAATAAAAAGTGCAGTTACAAACAACAGATGTACAGTTTGAATGGGTGCCTTTGTTAAAATCACGTTTAAGTGGGCATAAAACATTTAAAAATTCAAAATTCCATACTAACAAAACATTTATTCCAAAGGGCTTGAACATGTTTTTTAGGGGTGTTTGAATTTTTACGTTTTTAACATGTACGTCGATGGAAACAAATGACATGATACTAAGTATACCATACAATTACCAAACAATTTCCAAACAAAACTGCTTTCATTTTCTCCAAGTTCAATGTGAGGTCCATTTTGAGAGGTGTTAAACTGCGGGGGAAAGTGCTACAATTGTTGGACAATTACATTTTTTAAATATTAAAAATACTTGACTCGTGTTATTACAATTAAAATATGGCAAGGTCTTCCATAGGACCGGGGTGGGTGCCACTAATTAAACACACAATGCTAAAATTTGCAATAGTTGGTTACATCAAGTGCGACCGACTGTGCCACCAACGTTGGCGAACGTCAGCACAGTCTCAATTTTTTTTCAGAATGGCAGACACACAAAAAACATAATAACCCATTGGGATGGGGACGAAATTTTCTACCTTCCAAGTTTCAATTAGTTCATAAATATTGGCAACATTTCACTTCCAGTCACAATTAAGTATTTTATTTTCGAGGATTTCAAAAGTTTCTATCCAAAACGGTCACACATTGATAATTATCGCTCTGCACTGAAAACTGCAGATACCTAGACTGTCCCATACAAGTCCATCTCCACAAAATCCATGATGGAAATTCAGTCTTGCTCAGTTTTGTTAAAAATCAAGATAAAATTCCTGCTTCAAAAGGTAAAATTTGAATCAATTAATTCATTCTGTCAAAAAGGACGATATTTGGTATATAAATCTCTTACGTTTCATGATCATTCATGGGTCAATTTTAAGATTAAGTTTCAAATGTTTGATTGTGAGAAATCTAACGGGTATTCTAACATAGCCTGTGCATGAAATAAACTGCCAAGTATAAAAAAGCAAGTATAGTTCGATATCAATAAAAGGATTTTCCACTACATGATTATCAGCTTACTTCGATGTTATGTTATAAAAACTTGGGAACAAGTAAAGTGGTATTATAAAATAAGGTGCGCAATCGATATGACAATAGCTAATGTGACAGTCGTAATAAAATATAATATTCAATTCAAAGCTTTGGAGTCAAGGCAATTCATAACTTATCATCGATGTGTATCATTAATCACAATTCAAACACAACATTGTTTCATTAATAAACATTTTACGGTAATAAATAAGCTGGTATTTATATGTATACATGCATAACACGAACATTGTGCTTTGTTTTTCTATTTTTCAATTAGGGTTTTTTTAAACGACCAACAAGGTTTATTCCATGTACGTCAGTACGTCCGATCCTCACAGAGAGCTCTATAACGTATTCCGACGCTTCTTCCCAATTTGCATGGGTTATTTTGATCACAAAATACGCACACACATACACACCAACAGATAGACCGACAAACACGCAAAGCAGCTTCACAACTTTATCTTTGGTGTCGTTAACGCATTGTCAAAAATCGTCACAATTATACCCAAGACTGACGTGTATGTACATGAACAAAGTATGCAGTTTAATTATCAAAGTTCTGTGTTGTCCTGTCCTTTGGTACATATTTGATTCACATATCTTTTGGTTCCACCAATCCAGAACACGACCGAAATAAAACAGGAACCCTGAAATTTGCAGAAAACCAGTCCCCGTGCATTGGAAATAACACTGACTGTGCACCAATTGGCCTCACTGCGTTTTTTACCTGGTGCAGTACGATCAAACACAACACCATTAAAAGTCACACTGAAACAAAGTCACAGGCAAGTACAGGACAGCAAGAGATTTAAAATATATAAACAGGGGGGGGGGGAATTATTTTTGCTGTTTCTTTTTAAATACCACAGTACGGGTTTCGGCATGAACTTGCAATACACTCAGGAACTACATAAATGACATGAAGTACATGTAACCAAAAAATAAATACAAAGTACTACAACCCACAATCTTTTCCCACAAGCAAAAAGGAAACTTCCATGGTATTTCGAAGGAGCTCCCACAAAACGTCCACTTGTGTGTACTTCAACGACAGTTCCATACAATTTCCAAGAAATTTCCACCGTGGAAAAATACCCGACAGTTCCAAACAGGCAACTTTCGTGAGGGTTTCCAGATCAAGTAGGCAACTTCCATGACAATTAATGGATTGAATCGGACATTTTCCTGAATGTTCCCTGACCAAATCTTCCATGACTTCCGGAAGTGCTCCAGAGTCGGATCAAAAGATCATCCATGAATTCAAATTCCTATAAAGTTTTAACCAAGAAAAGTGGCTTTTAGAATGTTGATTCATCAGACTTGGAAAGTTTGGTGTAACACAGCTCGTTATTCCTACGTTTCCATAACATTTCAGTAAATTGTCTAGGACCGCACACGAAACGTCCAGGATTTTTCGCAATCATTCCACTTAATACATCTCCAACTTCTCCAAAGGTCTTTGGTTTTTGAGCAATCTCAATGCCATCAGAACTCCTTGTGCTTGCATAATGAAAGTCAACTCCTTATTTTACATCGTTGTTTTTTCTTTCCTCAGGGGATTTCACGTTTCTGTGGTGGCAGGAAACCTCATGCAGCAACTTTTGTTTATAACACCCGGAACCCTTTTAGAACCAGTAATTTCAACACACCCACAACGACAAATGAAATGTGCGTCCAACACACGACTTTTACAAATCACAACGAATGTAGCTAAGATTTTGAAAATACGAACACCAAATAAAATGTAGCACCCAGTTCAGTTCTTTTCTCAAATAGTCATGGACTTTACCCGCAACACAAACAAAAAAGGATCTGACTTTACCAAAGCTCTAAGTATGGTGACGCTTATGATTGAACGAGTGCCTTTTTTTCTAAGCATCCACACACTGACAAGGTAGAGTGCAAACGTGCAAAATACTGTAATTACCAGAACCAATTTCCCTCAGCTGCCAACAATTTCAGAACAAAATCCTCACCTCATCTTTTCAAATGAACATTTTCCCCATTGGAGGCTAAAAGAAATTTAACTGCTACTTTTCCTAATTGTCTACTCTAAAGGGACTGATCCTGATATGTTCACAAGCAACTCTGACATTGTATATGATTTGAGCAATTCCACTAAAAAAGCATCCTTAGTATGGTTCTTATACATGCACACTTATGGAATTACCCCCTTTTGTGTTTGCCCTACATATATAACAACATCACACTGTGTTAACTGCACTGCATTCTGGCAGTCATTCAAGTGGGAACGTGGGAACGATTTTTTTGTTTAAGGTCAAATTAAATCACCCATATTGTTTTGCTCCAACAATGAAATTTAATGCCAGAAATGGCAGCCAGTTCCAGACTCCTTCTAGTTCCTTACTTCTAAAGGAAACCGTAATTTTTGTCCCGGGGAAGACACTTACACTTCAGTTCACATAAACTTTAATGTAACAATGTGACCTAAAAACGAATAAGTTCCCACACTGCATGAAAGTCTGCAAGAGGCACATCCCTTGTATGAGGAATAAAGCTGTAGGTCCCATGGATCATTGCCGTTTACGGAACTCCAGAAAAAAATTACTGTGGAAAAGTACTGCACGCTCACACAAGTTTTTCTAGTAAAATAGTTCACCCAAGATTGAAATCTTAAGACAAAATATCGGAGTCAGAACTCAATAACAAGTGGATCTTGTTAGGAAATGTTGGTTCAGATACATTTCAATGAAGTTTTAGGGAATTTGGCTGAAGAATTAAAACCCAGGGCCAATGCCAAGGAGCTATTTATGCATGCAGCAACCAGTCTAACACTTCTTTAGTCCAACATGACTAGAATAAACAAGATTTGAAACTTTGCATGGTGGTAGGGTATAGTAGTGAGGTTTGCGGTGACACCAAGTGGAATAATCTCTTCTAAGAAGTGTGGTTCTGAAAAGAACCGGGTGGTTTTAAAACTCGAAGTTCCGATCAGTAAGCTCCGATCTTAAATGCCAGCATCCGGGGTGCGTCAAGTGTCCGGGTAAGCGGGTGGGACTTGACTAAAGGCTACTTCAGGAGAGGGAGAGAGAGAGGCGACGATCAGAGCAAACTGATCGGAATGTCAAGTTTCACAACCACCTGGTTCTTTTCAGAACCACACTTCTTCTCAAAAGAGATTACTCCACATGGTGTTACCGCAAACCACACTAGTATGACAAGAATAGTAAAATATGACATCTGGTACCCAGTCTCTGTTGCAAAACATTTTATCCACATTCATGCCACCAGACTACCAAACTGTCTGAATTTCCTAAAGTTGGACATACACGTATACAGTATGTATATACCAGTTGACTTGCTTCCAAATTCAAATCATGTGACTTCACTGACTGGTGCCAATCGTTGGAGCAAACCTTCCCTGGCCCTTTGAAGTTGAATGTTGGTTTGTGGTATAAATAAGACCTTATGTTTGCCTTGAGCATATCAATTGTGCAGAACTCCGTTTGTGTAGCTGTAGTTGGCCGGTTGCATTTTGCATGTTACTCTGCACTTGGGTCCCAGTGTGGAGTAAAATAGCATATAGCTTCCTTGGCCATCATTTTGCAAAATTCTTGCTGCGCACATCTCTTCACCCATTACTCTACTGTCTAAACATACATACATGTACTTGTACATACATTATGTAAACCACATTTGAAATGCCCGAAAAAAAATTTGAAAAAAAAAAATCCTCCAATTGGTATTATCATATGTGACAGCAATTAGAAATTCAAATTCATTGTGCCCACAAGGGAAAAAATAGCAAAATAAAAGTAGTCAGCATTCATATGATAAACAAAAATGTTCAGTGAAAAACAAATTGCAAAATTTTGAAAAACATATTTTTTTCCTGAAAATATATATCTATGTCATCAGACCATGATTTTTCATGAAGCACACATGTGAATAAGCATTAATCTGTACAGTAAACGGCTAAAAAAAGTAGACACTGTTCGTTCTCTTGCCCTCCGCACCTATCAGACTTCAGTGAGAACAAGAGAAATGAATTACTCGTTGCCTTTCAAAGAAAACATTTTACAGTGAAGGGGTAAACAAATAACTGCGAATAGTTCACAAAGTTCAGCTTCACAGCAAAGCCTTTTACAAATGTATAAAATTCATTGATATGTGAAGCACTGTTCAGATTATTGTTGCTGTCAACAATGTATAATTTTGACACGCAAGCAGCAATGTATTCGAGTCCCTGCAAGTCCATCACAAGTCCATCACAAGTCTTTCGTCTCAAGTCAAGTCACTAGCTATTCAAATAAACTGTCACAAAAGGAAAGGACTTGCGGTGGCCCCGATTACATCACTACAGGCAAGTATCCACAAAGTACATAAGAAGCAACATTAAGTTCCCAGCTGCATTAATCGTGTTTATGTTGACCATAAGCAACAAATTTCAAAGCTAGACAGTATCACTGAAAAATCAACCAATCAGTTTTTTTGCAAGCTGGCCAATCATTGAAACATATTAACTTAATCCAGGTATCCAACACATTTACTGATATCATAGCCAAAGCGCACAAAAAGTACATGGCACTTTGTGACCCCTCATAAGAGCTCCGTAAACAGTACATCCATGTATGAATATGTACCACATACGGCACCGACTCACGCACATATGGTGAAGGACACATGATTGATTTTCATATATGAATGTGCACACATCTGTAGTGTCTTCATGTGAGTGCTGTTCATGTGTGTACCGCGGCATTGCATTCAAACTCTCTCTCTCTCCTTGTAACCTTTTCAGAGGGTACTTGTGCACGATGCAACACCCTACGTTGCATGATAAACATGTGCAATATGCGAGAATGCTTACATATATAGCCACCTCTGTGGAGAAGATTCCATTGGCAATCCACTCCAAATTTTAGTTCTGGACAATATATCACCAGTTAACTACATTTGTGAATTGTTGCTATGACGCGACAACAAGAGTTGCAATCCCTCTCAAAAAACCTGACACTTGACAACATACAATTTTGAATTTGTCTGAATGGAATGTGAGGGGTGCTGGAATTGCCAATTACTGGGAGTAGATTCTGTTGAATTTTAGTTTAGAATGGATTCTATTTGATTCCTGCCTGGAGTCGCACAAGCCCAATAATGGATAGTGAAATACTAATATGTTGAACAACAAGGCCATTGTATTTACTGACTGGTCAATAGGACAGCTGTGCCTTCTTTGAAGCTTGAAGACCATCCACTTAGTCATGCACACCATGAGGCGTAGTTTACTAGTTGATAATAATCAGTTGACTGGCTTGTGGATGTTGTTGACCCTGGTACATTACCTGAACATACCCACTAACATGCTAGCACCATGGTGCTTATTAGTGGATCCCTCTGTCTGACGTCTCTCCTCTTTGTTTCACCATCCCATCAGAAGTTGACCGTCCTACATCCACGACGATGACGACAAAACTATAATTCTTGACAACTATTATTCTTGAAACAGTTAAACACACAGCAGTTTCACAGGGTGATTTTGGAAAATATTTGCCATCATAGGGGACAAAGTGTCTAGAAGCAATCGGGTCCCTTAACAAGTTATACTTAATCAGCCATTTTGCTCTTTTTTGGAGGTACCAGTTACTTGCCAGTATTGTCCCATCAGCAGGGCAGCCATCAGTGTCTGCTACAAATTCATTGTTGCCAGAATGTCTTGGCAGAGTTCTTTGTACTGCAAAGCATCCCCGGCTAACTGACGCAGTTTCAGCCCATTCAGTGCCAATCCAGGGACACGGCAGACTTCCATCTCCATCCGCACGCCATTCCGGTGCAGCTGAAAGAGGTTCTCAATGTTCTCATAGATCAGGGCCGGCTGCTTACAATCAAGAGTCCTCCTGATCTCAGCGACTATCTCTCCAAGTCCCTTGCAGGTGGTCATGCAGAAGGACTTTGCATGTTTGATTGGGGATGGCTCAGCAGCGTGCATGTCTGACTCACTCAGTGTCATGCTACAACTAAGGTTCATTCCCTGTGCTATCAGCGGTGGGATGTGTTGCTGCTGGCCAGACACATTATCTGTTTTCCTGATCCCACTGCTGCCACCATCAACACTGTTATTGTTGGTGGTGTTGAAGAACTGACTCAAGTCACCTGAGGGGATACGGATTGTTCTACGTAGTAGCTGTGTAGGGACCTGGGCATCTACGCCAGGCATGGTTGTGTGTCGGTGGTGGTTGTGACTTTGCCTTGTCTGGCCATCACTCAGCCCAAACGCTAGAAATCCTGCACAGGAATTACATTTAGAAATCCTATTTACAAATATGTGACTGGATTTCACGAAATTAGTCAAAAGGAAAATTTTGGCTATTAGTTTTTCACAAGCAGGAGGAAACACATGCTCTTATTAGTTTTATTCATCACTAAATTTGACAGTCACCAGAAGTATTGCCTGACATTTTGGCTGGAAGCCTGCGTTAGCTAAGCGTAATAGCAAAGTTCTGTGCTTAGAAGCCCCATGACATTAGGCCCTTGGTCCGATGTCATGGAACTGTTTACAAGAAATAATTCTAAACATGTGTATGTGTTAAGCATAAATCACAAGAACCAGTAAACACTGAATGAGGTTTAGGCTAGTTTTCGCTTATCAACTATTTTTCTGTGTGGAATAAATTTGTTGACCATGCTCAGGAGTAAAGGTACGCATACCTTGTGCTGCTTCTTCACCTTGTGATGGCCCTTGCATCGTGTTGGACTCTTCCATTGCCTGCACTAAGTCTGTATCATCAATCCGCTGTTGCTGGTTAATCCCCTGCAAATAGTGGAGCGTTCCAGGTGACATCAAATTGGGCAGCGGGTAGTGCTGACTGGGCGGTGCTGCTTGCATCACTGGTTGCTGGCTGGAGATGTTGAACTGGACACCCCCATTCAGCCCAGGGAGTGGTAGATTCCTGGATTCCTGTTGTTGATTGGACGGGAGCTGGCTAGTGAGAAATGTCACCCCACTGGGTTCAGTGATCATCTGTGAGTGCTGCTGTTGCTGCTGTTGTTGTTGCTGCTGCTGCTGCTGCTGCTGCTGTTGAAAAAGTTGGTTGGACTGTTGTGCTAATGCCACACCACCCTGCATTCCTTGCTGCCTGCTCATATCATGATTCATTTGTTCGAATGTCACATGCCGTGATGCCTGCTGTTGGTGCTGGTGCTGTTGTTGTTGCTGCATGAGATTCATCTGCTGATTCTGGAGAGCAACTTGCTGTTGTAATGCTTCCTGTTCTTGAAGTGACTGAGCCGCTTGCAGCATTTGCAACTGCTGCTGCTGTTGTTGCTGCTGCTGCTGCTGCTGCTGCTGTTGCTGATAGACCAAACTTGAGGTCAGGCTACTCGGATTCACCGAAATCTCCCCCTGTGAGGAGCGGCCTCCCTGGTTTTGGAATAGCACCGGTAGTATATTCTCCAGTGAATCATTGCTCTGACCCCCAATGTTCACTATGTCTAGCATCTCACCTCCCGCCGAAGTCACAATGACTGGCGGAGAGGGAGAGAAGCCTGGCCTGATCCCACCAAACCAATTATCCCCAGAATGGTTGTGTGGGCTGCCCCGCTGCGAAGACATGCTGCTACCCCCTACAGCCCCTTGACTTAAAGGACTGCTCCCTTGTGAGGGGCTTCCCACATTCACCGGCCGGTTGTCAGGCTGGGCATCCAGCGTGGGGCTCATGTCAATGGATAACGGGTGGGTTGGGTAAGCGGTGGGATCAATGGACGGTTCAATTACCTCCTCAGGATGAACAGGGAGGCTGATGGAGGTAGGGGGGCTCGCTCGGCTATTAGGACTGTGAAGCTTTTTGAGCATTGGTGGGCTGTCGCAGGGTCGCTGTAGGTGTAATCTGTACAGAGTGTAGAAACAGAAAAAAAACCAAAAAGGAACAAACATAAAACGTACCTCACTTTAAGAAATCATATGAGCTTTTCTTTCAACATCTACCAATGCTATGTGCTTAATATTATTTTGAAATGCTATCACATGTGAAGTGCAAAGTACTTTTGGAAGGGACTATTGATTCTGAGGTAAAACATTGATTGAGATAAAAAAAACCTGTTGATTTATTTGATCATCCTTTGAAGCAAAGACAGTACCTCTGTAGGTGTTGTTGCAAGGCTTGTGTCTGGACGTCCGTTGCGGGTTCTGCTCTCACTGTTGGTATCATTGGGGGTGTGCCGCTGCCGATACCACCCTGGGCTAACTGGAACTGCAAATCCCACAGATAAACAAAACACAGATCTTTAAATCAATGTCAGCTTTACTCAAGAGAAAATATGACCCATATGACATGAGAGTATGTCAGAGTGCATGATTGGAAAATGAAATGAGTAGCAATACATGTAAACTGTGTAAGAATGCCAACACCTTTTCTATGGACCATTTGTACGAGCATAAGAAAGTGCTATCCATGGAATGGATGCTCAGGTACAATATACATGTATGTTATGAATCAACCCCATTGTAACCAATAGTCCTCAATCAAACTTGCCCACTGGTTCATGCACTCGGTTTATCATTTATACAATCTACATATACCAAGTATATATATGGTGGGTAGACTTGTTCCCTGTCTCCCCATAATCAATCTGAATTAATTACAGTGGCAAGCATGGGTACTACTCTCTCAACACCTACAGATATAAAATGCATATACATGTACTACGAACCTATGGAAACATATTGTACACTTAAAACAGATCTTTTTCCAACCTACTGTCAGCTGCCACAATGGAATGTTCCGGATTGAGCCGTAAGCCCCGCCCACTTTGCATGTTAATTGGCAACAAAATGAACATCTTTTTAATGTTGAACTACATGTTCAAGCCATGTGCGTCATGTGAATCTGCAAGCATATTGGACTTTTCTCAGACATTTTGGATATGCAGTCATGGCTGTGATTGGTAAAACTTTATGGGACAGGGCTTACCAGATTGGGGTGGGGCTTAATGGTTTGGGGCAAACTGACAGGGGTGTTGTTTTACCAAGTAAGTGGGGTAAACTTACAGTTTCTCCACATGAACTGTTCATCCATTTACATTTGGTAATACATGTGCCCATATCAGGTTATGCAAGATTTTGCCAAATACAAAGAGCGACACTTTAACACCTATTTGGACTGCCTTTCCGGAGTCACGCCGAACCAAATTATTCCCAAGATTTCAATTAAGTTTGACATTTGAAACTGTGAGGAGCGACTGCACACAAGTTATTGAAAGATTTAAGGTTGCAGTCATTTGCAAACACTCCAAAGACTAGTCAATGGAAACTTAAAACAAAGTTTGCCAGTCCGAACCCATTGTCTATTTTGACTTGTGTTGCTTAAAATACTTATTAGTTCCGCGTGACTCGGGAACAACAGTCAGACACAGGTGTAAACCTACTTCCAATGCTTGTATTCTCTTACTCCCACTCATGAATATTCATCGTCTTACAACCTTTCCCAATTGGTCAAATTTTGACACATGGTGTGATGGATAAACTCTATAAACTCAATGGTGTTTTCAAAACCTCGGCTCTGTCTCCAGCTTTGGCTGCATCTCCAGCATCAGATCATTTCAAAGCTTTTCATGTTCACACCAAACAGGAACACTGAAGCAGTCGCTTTATATATTACTCTTAAATAGCTCTGAGGCAGTTTACCCATGCCTACTGGTCACGCAATTGTCTCGTGGGTGGTCTTAAACCGCTATTTATAAAGCCGGTCAGCGCTGTTCGTGTTAACGACTGATCTACAACAGTGAGCAAGACCCTGCGCTCCGCTCCACATTTGCGCAGTACGTATTCCCCATGCGCCAGCTGCCACCAGGTGCTTAAGAAGGAGTTATCCAACAAACACCACACACACAAAGAAACTCATCCTGATCTTGGAATAAAATGGCAAAATGAAATCGTTGGCAGTTTTTGTCAACTTTTGAAAATTGTATGGCTTTTTGATTGAAAAGGTATGTTGAAATCTCTTGATGCCATAGCTGGCGGTGAAGCCGAGGTTAAAAAAAAAAATACCATGTAGGGACTACATTTAAGTACAGTACAGAGAAAGTAAGGGAACATCTCAAAAGTCGGAACGTTCGTTTCAGGAACACTGTGCGTTCCCATTCCCAACTGGAACATGCCGTTCCAGAGTAAGCGTGCATGCGCATAGACAAACGTTCCCACACGGGATCACCTGGCATTCCCAGGATGTTCTCAAGGAAACAATGCATGTTCCCTATTGGAACAGCCAAGGTTCCCTTAGGAATGTTCCAAGCATTCCAACTTTTGAAACGTTCCCTAAAGAGGCATTCCACATAAATGTGACATTCTCTGTACTTAAACTAAAAATGGTAAATCCTGTCCCTTGTTAAGTATTTGTTGATCAATTTTACACTTTTGAATCTTGTCAAAATACTGCAAAAAATACTCATCAGATGCAGCATTTCAACCTACCCCAAAACATTATCATTAGTTTACATATGCAGCGTATAGCAGAGTTTCACTATTACGAACACAGTGTTTGCAAAAGATTGTTCAGAGAATGTTCATTATTGCCAATCAAAATGCATCATTGTTTCTTTCGATTTTAATTCACATTGCTGTTCAGCACTGAATTCAGTGATAGGGGTGTTCATTATAGAGGTGTTCTAGAGTGCATTCACGTGAACAAGTTTGCGAAAAACAGCCAAATACACAAATGAAAAAACTTGAGAACTTTCAATAACAAAACTCTTTGGTCAAAAGCAAAGCTTCAATCCAACTTATCTCGCCTTTGTCAGCCAATCAAGATGCTTGTTTCATGCCAGAGGAGTGTACTACCTTGCTTTGGCTCTTTTGATTGGTTCTTCCTAGTTCTCCGCACTCGGGGCGATCTACGTACGTTCTCCCGGCACTGGTGGTATTTTACGAGCGCCAGCGCTCGCGTTTTGGACCGGGTCAAAATTTGCGATCTGTTGGCCTGGTTTGATGCATATATCATTAACATGAATATGCAAAGCAAGTCTGAATACTTAATGAGATGCAAGCTATGAGCAATCAAAGAAATATGCATACATGTATATTCATATCGACCATGTAACATTTACAGGCTGTGAGTATTCCAATTTATCTTCAAGCAAACTTGAATCCTCGATCCCGATTGGTCAATCCATGACAACCACCCGTACTACATTATCCCGTATACCACGGTCCATACCTCACCCCACTTATTGCGTTATTCCATGATGCGCAAGCCATTCCCGCTGCACGCACATATAACACCGTAGGTTAACCACTGTAAAGTTCATGTACAGTGTGCATGTTCCATCTTAACTGCGTGAAGCTTGCTTGAAAATAAATTTACTATACCACTCACGGTCAGTGTAACAATATTTGCTGTGAATACTAACCCCCAAATCCATTATTTCTGAAAATTACTTCACAAGCAAATTAAATATTGTATATTACATTGAAAAGTGAGAAAGCGTTAGTAAGGCCAAAAAAAAAAAGTCTCCGGTTTCTGGTATGGAGCTTGTCCAAAAAGTGGTGCGGCGACGCGGCTTTTTTTTTTTTTTTTACCTGACTTTTTTTTTTTTTACTTGACTTTTTTGCTTCAAATGTCGGCTGGTGACTGCAAATGGTACCCGACTGAACTTAGTGCAAATATATGGGAGTCCAGAGAGGCCACATTAAGCTTATTCTCGATCATAACCCCATCTAAAAACACGTTGAAATTGCGCAGCAGCAGAATTCCAGTCAAACCAGTGAGTTTGGTGGTTTTGAGGCATCATCTTTCATTGAAAAAAAAACCTTTTTCATTTTGCCAACACACATGGCTACGGCGATGCGCGCGCATACCAGAAACCGGAGACTTTTTTTTTTTTGGCCTAAGACTCATTTTGTAGAATTTGGTTAATACATTCATACAAAATGCAAATGACATCATAACAATCCAGTGATGTAGAATACACACACCCCCCCCCCCCCCAATAAAAATCATGCAGGTACATGTACATTTGTATATAGCTGTTCAACTTTGTTCGACACTTCTGACACTTGCCGACACCCATATTTTGATTGGCATTCCAGAGTCAGTCCAAACTATATATTATGCCTTAGAGTTGAATAAAAATTGACAATTGAAATAAGTAGGCGTGATTACACACACGTCAACAAACAGATTGACTGTTGCTGTCTATCAGAAGGACCTGGCCTGAGTTGCGCCAATTGAAAATTAATGCATATTGTTCACTTGTCTAAAACCAAAGTCCAATCAGCCCTTTCAATATTTCAACTGCGCATGCACACAATGATATGGGTCACGGGTCATTTAGGATAATCAAACGCTCAGTTATGGCGTATGAACACGCATGGAGACGGTCGCACGACGCTTGCGAGTTAAAATCGCTTAAAATACTACAACACTCGTAAAGTCACCAAATATGCATTAAATGTCTAAAAAGCTATTTCCCATGCAACCTTTACCTCAACAGATCAAAAATAGGAAGTTTATCTCAATACCGTACATCAGGTGACTATGTAAAGCTTATCTCGATATGCAAATGACAATCATTAATATGCATATTAATGTCAGTGTTCCCGCAGCTTTTCCCTGTCTGCCAGGTATGCAAAGGCTTACACATGCTTGCGATTTTCACAGCGTGTTTGAAATCGCTAGCACGTCGGTCCTTTTGCACACAACAGGGGCAGAATTCAATCACCTACATGTACTTTACATAAAATTGGAATATTATGCAAATGAAGCAGAGGGGCAGAGAGAGTTGGAAGCAGGATGACCCGTGAGCATGATGATGTGACGATGGTGGTACATGGGTTCTCAAAAGGTAAAAAAATGGCCTTTCAAGTGTTAAGTAATTCTTATAAGTTGCTCCCTATCACACAAGTTCTCATTGGCAAACGTGGTCAACTTGGAAAGTCTATGTTGTTGAATCTCTTTCTGACTCTGAAACTGAAATAGTCAGAACCAGGTATTTGCACTAAAGCTTGTTAACGAAGATCTTTGAATGAGGGGAAATATGAGTCAATTATTCAGACTATATGTATTCCTATGTGACGTTTGAGTATACCTATAACTAGACTAGAAAAAAGTATTTGACTACAACAGTAATTATGCTCCACACAGCTTTCTCAACAAATCCGAATATGCAAATAACAGAGTGAAAATTTGTGATAATCAGTGTCTAATAATAATCAGTGTCGAAGAATCTGTGTCCTTAAGCTGGACACTTTACTCCA